TGCTTGAGGAACGGCTCCGCCTTGCCGGCCACAATGTTGGCATGGCAATTACGATTGTCGAAGGAGACCATACGTTTCTGCTCCTCGTTCAGCTGCTTGCCAATCTTCTCGAGCGTTTGCAGATCCGCCGCAGCGGCAATTTTGTTCAAGTAAAAGCGGAAAACCTTCACCTGCGGATGTAGGCCATCGGCGAGCAGCTCCTCCACGTACTTGGTGGCCTCTGTGAGGCGATCGTCGCGCACCAGCAGCTCGATGAGTCGCGAGGTGTCCAGCACGTTGACTTTGTCGCTGGCTGCCAGACTCTGCTTGTGGCTGATGGCGGCATCGGGATCGTTGGCGAGCAGCGCCTTGCGGAAGCCCGCCTTGTGGGAGATGGGACGCACTGTGGTCTCTGCCTTAGCTGGCTGTTCCTTCTTGGCAGCGGGTTGCTCCTTCGTGAGGGTGGACTCCTCCTTGGGCGCGTCTGTCTTCGCCGCTCTGTTCCTTCGTGCTTGCTGCTGCGTTTCGGGCACCACAAATGGCACATCAATGTTCTTGCGCCGCAGAATCTCCGCGAGCTTAAGGAGGAACGCATCTGTGGGTGTGAGCATCTCTTCCTGCATTTTGGTCCACAATCCCAGCGCCTTTTCCGCCTCATCCGCCTTGTCGTAGCTCAGCAGCAGCGTGTAATAAATCTTATTGCGATCAATGTGTCCCAGGTCTTTCGTGGCCTCAATGAGACCCTCGAGGGGCTGCAGCAGACCCTCATTCCTGTAGCGATCGCAGGCGCTGCTGATTCTCTGCGGGCGTGTGCGTAGGCCAGGCGTCTCGAGGATCTTCCGCGCCTGTCGCACGCGTCCGCATTCCACGAAGGAGAACACCAAATCGTACAAACTGTTGACTTCGCCGTGGATGCCCGTGCTCAGATCAGTGAGGCGCTGCAGATTGGCGGCATCCTCCTTCTGGATGAGGCGGCACGAGAGCTCATTCTTCCAGGGCGTCACCTTGTACTTGTGGCAAATCTCCTCGAAGGTTTCAATGGCCTTGGATATGTCATCCTTGATCAGATGCACCTTGATCAGCGGTCCCAGCAGCACATTTGTGGGCACAATATAATTATCCGCCAGCAGCGCATCGAACAGGCGACGCAGCTTCTCGGGCTGCCCAGCCTCAGCGATGGAATTGAGCACACGCCACACGGTGCTCACGTAGTTGAAGCTGCCCTCGCTCTCCGCGACGGGTGCATCCTTTTTGTTCTCCTGCAGCAGCTTGTACGCCTCCTCCACACGTTCCTCCTGCAGCAGCAGATCCACCAGGTGCACGGTCTTCAGGTTATCCAGCTGGAAAGTGGGCTCCTTGGCGCGCAACTTCGTGTACACGTCTAGCGCGTCTGAGCTGCGTTTGTGGTGCGTGTAGAGATCCACCAGCTGCGCATGGATGCCCAATGGGATCTGGTACTGTTCCGTGTTGAGTTTTTCGATGACCTGCAGCGTCTTTTCAATGTTTTGTGCACGGAAACAGGCATTCAGCAGCTGCCTCTTAATGTTATTTGCATTCTCGCCCTTGGCCTCTACATTGACAATGAAACGTTCGAGTTCTAGATGGGAGATTTGAGAGAGTTTAGAGGGGGGAAACAGCTACAAGTTTCAAGCACTCACCTTCGATGGAGAGAGACACCAGCGCTCGCTTGCCGCTGCTTGGTAGTGGCGTTGGCTCCAGCTCACCGGAGCTCAGTTTGCCCAACAATTCGGCCAGCTTTGGCGTCATTTCAGCGCCCAGCTGCTCCGACAGCTGTGTGGCTCTGGCGCTGCTGATGGACAGGCCCTGCTTGACCAGTCCCTGAAGGATCTTCTCCAGCGTGGCCACACGATCGCGATGGAAGTAATTGCTTGCCTCCTGCACAAAGCCACCCACCACATCGGGTGTGGCTTTCTCTGCACCCTCCGCCTGTTCGGCTTCCTCTTCTTTGCCTGCGCTGCGCTGCTGCAATCCCTCGTGGATCTGCCGCAAGCAGCGGATAAACGCGGAATAATCATTCGTGTGGCTGAGAGCGAGGATCAGCGGCTGCTTGAACAGCACCGGCAAATAGTAGGCTCTGTTTTGCTCCATAATCTTGGCAGCATCTGCAATCTGATGAGTGACCAGAGCGGCATAAACCGCAGACGTGACAGCCGTGGAGTTGGAGACACCAGCATCCCGCAGCGCTGTGATGACACGCTCCCAATTCTTCTCCTTCAGGCTGGGTATCACATAATCCCTGATCGTCTCCGAGTTGGGCAACACCGCGAAGTCCTGCTGCATGCGACGAACAATCTCCAGCACCTGATTCGACTCCACCGAGCAGATGAGTGGCCAGAAATAATGCTGACGAATGGGCAGACCCGCGTTCTTCATCTCCTTGAGCAGCGGCAGAGCGTTGTTCACGACGCCATTGGTCAGACCCGCCTCCGTGGCAATGGACAAAGCCTTGGGGTTGAGTCCCTCTGCCTGGAGTGTCTTGCAGATGCTCAGAATCTTCTCCACAGGTCGATTGGCCTTCACCATTTGGCGTATGAAGAAGGCACCCACATCCACGGGTTCGCCATTCACGCGGTTCGAACGTGGCATAACGCGCAGGATCTGCAGACCCACATCCTCGAGGCCCTTGTTGACGAGGCGCAGGATGACATTGGCAGCATCCTGATTGAAGCCCGGGGAGATGTGCAACTTGCCGAGCAGCTCAGCGACTTTGTCGCCATTTCCATTCACTGCCAGCGCGTACACAGTGTCCAGCAGATCCTTGTCCTGCAGAATAATCTCTTTTTGGTCACACTCCACGAGCGTCTCCTGCAGTGCAGCCAAATCCCCGTGCCGCGCAAAGGCGCACAGCAGCGTCGTATAAGTGTCGGCGCTGGGCTCGAGGCCTGCTTGCTTCATCACAGCGAGAATTCCCTTGGCTGACTCCAAATCGTTGGCCTATGGAGGGAAACGAGGGCTTAAATATGCATCAATATATCTATACCTCGGCTCCCCTCACCTGTGAGTGTCCCAGGATCAGCGAGTTGAAAACATTCTCATTCACCGGCAAACTCTTTCCGCGCATAAACTCTAGAATTCTGGTGGCACCCTCGATGTCGCCCTGCTGGCAGTAGCGTGCAATGAGCCGCTGGTACGTCACGCGATTGGGTTCGATGCCCTTGGCCTCGATCTCGGCTAGGAAATCGGTGGGCGCAAAGGGATGTTCGTTCTCCAGGTAGACGCGCAGCAGCGCATTGTAGTGAGAGATGTCCATGGGCACATTGAGCGCGTTCAGCGTCTTCCAGATCTCCTGCACCAGCGCTGTGCGCACCTCTGGCAGCTCCTCGGGCACCAGATTGCCGCAGCAGCGTATGACCATCAGCGACTGCGAGCTGGTGGCCGTGCGGTGTGTGCGAATCTCATCGAGAATCTCCTCTAGATCCCTGCGCGAAATGCGGCCCATGCGTCGCACATCGTGATCCAAGCGACGAATCTGCTTGTCAAGACTCAACTCCGACTTGGCGGCGGCATTGGTAGCAAAGCCACTGGAGAGTTAAACGAAAAAACACAAACGAGAATGTTCCACATCAGATCGAGGTTATGTAAACAATTTTGAAAATCTTTTTTTGAATGAAAATACACAAAGAGTCCTGCACATCCCACCCGCTTTGGCTACCCCTTGGGCTGTTTTAACTCTTCTCTTTTATATTTTCATGAAATTCCTTTGGTGTTGCGTAATGGGCGCCGGCGCCGAACTTACCTCTGGAACTGGCCGCAAATGCATGGTGTACTTGTCAGCAGATTGCTCGCCTCGTTCTCGCGCACCGTGTTGACCAGCACATTCCGGGTGAAGCCCGCAAAGTAACGAAACAGTTTCCCCGTCCGCAGTATGGATGCCATGGTTTCGAGTCGCTTTTAATTAATAAATTCAAAATTTATTATTTAAAAAATCAGAATCAGCAGGCGTGCGCGTTCGGTGTGACCAACTGAAAAGAGGGCTTATCGATCAAATATACCGCACGACTTTCAAAAATATACCAAAAATACACAGCAGTCCTAAATCATATTCCTCGATTTAAATGTTCTATTTGATATTATTAGCTTTTATCCGATTAAACAATCAATTCTCCAGAAGATTGCTTGGTTTCCACGATTTCTTTTTGTTGGAATAGATAGCAATTAAATTTAAAACCAAAAAGACCTACCAACAAAAATAGCATATAACGTTACGTGAGTCGGGATGGATTGTTACGTACAAAATAGGATTCAAACAACAAAGTTCAACCGAAAAAATAGCATAAAACGTTACTTCAGTGAAGAAACTGCGGCAGTCAAAGATAATAAAATCACACTTGAAAGTGTTCAACGTAACATCCTTTTGAAATTGGCGCCTGCTCAAAGAGTGCTGGTAAAGATCGAGAAAAAGAGCTGGAAAATGTTGGAGTGTTTCGGCGGGTCTATACACTATCAAACATGGAAGATGGTCATTTGGAATTTCTAAAAGTAGAGTAGATCAGTAAGTAGATAAATGGAAATGTATAATGGTTATGTTTAATGTATATTTGTGCTTTTAAAATTTTGCATTCGCGGTCTGGAATGCCTTTTTAATTGAACTTGGCTACTATTTTTTATATGTATATGTATGCACATATGTAATTTTTGTAAGAATTGCTAATTATTTTTAGTAAAATATTAAGCATTTTTAGTTTAAATATTTTATTTGAATTTAATAACCCCAAAGCTAAGTAAAGGGGTTAACGTTAAAGGGGAAATGCAGATGCACACACTCGCACACACACACACTCTTTGTATGTATAGAACTGACGGCCACCTGACTAAGAGAAACTGCAAGCATCAAGAGAGAGCCAAAGCTTAAAGGCGCTCTCTCTCTCTGTCTCTCTCTTTGCGAATATTTGTTGTTGTTCCGCGTCATTCCTTTACTTTTGTTGTCTCTCGGCTCTGACGCTTTCTTTTTGTCGCCGGCACTGTCGACGCTGTAGCGGCGCTGCATTTCATTTTCAAAAGTTGCACATTGCGGTTCTTAGTGCTCTCGCGCTCCCACTGTCGCCGCTGCTGCTGCTGCCCGTTTCTTTTTCCATCTTTGGAGTCAGGCCGTCCCCGCCTCCACGTTCGTTCTGCGTGTGTGTGTTGTGTGTGTGCATAATTTCGCGTAATGACGCTGCGTCCGTTATATATCGGCTCTCGGATGGTGCCTGAATATTGTATTTCCTAAATCTTGTTGACGGCCTTTCCATGGCACACCTCCTGGCATCCCCGTCTGCCCGAGTGTCTGATTTGCATTTGGACAGGTGCGCCGAGCCGGGCCACCACGATCAGCTTTGGAGCTGCTGCCAAATGACGTTCTTCAACAATGGGTAAGCATCATGACAATCGCGAAAGAAAGATGATACAAAAAAATTCGCCGATTACAGCAAACACATGCAAACTTACAGTACATGCATACGCTCAAGTGTAGATATGTTTGTATGCAATATTCAGCTCAAGTTATGTGCACTGAAGGTAAGGCCTTGCTAGACGGGCCTACCATAGTTGCCCATCATCAAACTAGCTTAAACTTAAGCAGAAGGAGAGGTGTACTAGTGTGTCTCTACTTTTACAATTCAGCTACCAAGATATATTTGAACAAGGTGAAGGATTTAGTTGTCATAACTTTCGCAAAAGCTTTGCTCTGACATACCTCACCTTGCATCGATCAACCCTTTGCCTGCAGTTACAACAATTGCAAGAGAGCGGCACCCACAGAGAGTGAGAGAGAGAGAGTACGGTAAGAGCAAAGAGTTGCTCTGTGCCCTGTGCAAAAAAAAACTGCCACGCAAAAAGGCGGCCGGCTTGTAGGTGCCCCCTTCCTCGGTTTACCCTTCCCCTCAAACCAACACCTACTCAAATGTGCAGTACTGCACTTCTCCCTTCGCTGCACTTTGTCTCCTCCGCGTGTGTCTGTCTGTGTGCGATGCACTTGGTGCGATTCATTTGCTTTTATTACCATTTCTTGCTCCACTCTTCCCCCCCTCGGCCACAACCACAACTCTCCGCCGCTGCGTTGGCGTCGCTGACGTCGCCTTCCACTCTCTTGTGTAGGGGGGGCTTTCTGTACATAAGGTGGCAACCCTGGCCCGGCAATAATGCGTTGGAGAATCAGTTCTGTACCCTTTTCGGCCAGTCCGGAGCGCGACTTTGAATTGCATGGAACGGTGCCGAAACGGTGCAACTGCAAAAAGAGAAAGAGAACTTTATATAAATAAATTACCAAAGACATTCCAAAAATAAGTAAAAAGCCAGCGGCAAAGACAATAATTCAATGCAAAAAGTGTGTGCAAATCCAGTGAAAGACTCTTTTTTTGGAAAACGAATGCTCTGATAGTGGAAAAAGTATGGGGATTTCTGTGTGTAAAATAATATAAATCATTTAATCAAATATTAATTTAATTCGGGTTTTGACTAAAAATATTTAAATTATTGATCCTTTTTTAATATTTGGAAAAATAACTGAACTTGAACCAACAAAAATTACTTGGAACATTTTTATAATTTTAATCAATCTTAATTGTGGAAAAGGTGAAGGACCTCTTAAAAAATATAAAAATTAGCTAAATTTTGTTCCAAATTAGTTAAATACTAAAATATCCCTAAATATAAGCTATTTCACAGACATTCTCCCTGAAAATTATCTTTTAACAGGAAAATTCACATTTTTCATAAAGTAAATCAATCAAATTTAATGAAATAATCAAATAGGTTTTTCTGATAGCATTTCGAAAATCGAAAATTCTCTAAAAATTAAAAGCAATTAAAACGCATTTTCTCTGTGGAAATGATGACCTACGACAAAGGAAATGAAGTCATACCAATACACAGGCACAGAGACACACATATAGTGCAGAGAGGGTGCACTCTCTCTCTTTCTCTCACAAACAGACAAACACACACACAGACTAGAGAGTGCTCTTGCTCAAAGTGCAGGCGGTGCGCTCTGTGGCGGTGGGGGCAAAAAGCGAATAAGCAAAAACAGAAGCAGCCGCATAAAGAAGCAGGCAGGGAAGAGGAGGGGGCCCTACCAACAAACAACAAAAACAACTTTGAAAACTGATTGCACTGCGCATGCACATGCATGCACACTAATGCAAACACTCATGCACAAACACGCATGCAAAGAAACACACACACAAACACTTATACCGATCTTACGCCGGTATTGGTGCTCTTTTGTTCGTTGACTGCAAAAAAAAAACCGTGAAGAAAAATCCAAAAAATTAATGGACATAAAGGAAAAAGTTTTATATGCGGTCGGAAAAATGTAATAAAAATCTAACAAAACTATAAACGGTGCCAAAAAAATGATATTAAAATGCAGAAAGAACTTTGACTGTGGAAAATCCATTAGAAAAGTGCATAAAATGATACTAAAATGGTGGACAAAACTTTTGGCAGATCAAAGATATATGAATAAATGTAATTTGATGTTGAAATAAAGAAGTAAATTGTTTTTTAAGGAATTTTGACTGTTAAAAAAAACATAAAAGTCAAATAAAATTGCTTAGAGCAAAACATTTAAAACCCATAAAAAAAAAGAATGTGAAAATATTGCAAAAGTTAGAAAAAAACCAATGATATGTGTGTGAGTGAGTTTTCGTGAAATGTTTGCCTTTTTCCCTACCCTTTATTTTGCGTTTTCTTTGCTTTTCTTTTAATTTATTTTCAATTGCTGTTATGCCAACGGCAGTTGAATGCACTCTGCCTTTTACTTTTCCGTCGCTTACCCTTTGCTGATAATGATAATGAAATCATAAATATAAAATCACATTTGCAGATTTACTTGCTTGTTTTAAACATTTAAGTGAACACTAACTTAATTTATTCCGAGTTTTTTCAAGAATTTATGGAATTTTCGTTGGATATTTCCCAACATCTTTCCATTTTCATTTATATTTTAGACTAATTTCCTGTCCAATTTTCTGTGAGTCATGCTCTGCAATGTCCTCGCCCGACCTTGAATGAAAATTGTATGTAAAAATGAACAATTAAAACAACAATTCTCTATTTTCACTCTCCAACCTCAAAGATAAACTGAATTACTCATCATCAGCATTTCCATTGAAATCCAATCTGACAAAACAAAAAAATATGTGAGGCAAAAGCTGGGAAAGAATTTCAATAAATAATAAACAAAATAAGTGATAAGTGAATAAGCAAAATATTCAACTGAAAATAGAAGACTGTTTTTTTGTTCCTCCTTTTTCTTTAATACAATTATTGGTAATTTTTTTCCATTCTTTATTTTTTGGTAAACGAAAAACAAGAGGAAACAGCAGAGCCAGAGGGCAAACCCATGCCGCTCACTGTGTTGGCCGTTGGAAGTGCCAAAGGACAATGGTTCAAGTGCAAAAGGGAATGCCGCCCCAGCACGACGAGCATGCAACAAGGACGGAGCGACAGGCAAGGACATTACGAGCAAAGCGAATAATTGTGGTGAGTTTCTCGTATTGCGTATACGCCATGTGTGGTGGATACAACCCACTGTGAGGGCGAAAGAAAAACTATTTATAGCAAGTCGAGCTCTCAGCCTTGATTCCGCCCTTGAACTAACATTCAGGGAACACTGCTACTACGATTCCCGACTGCCAGCTCCTCCTGGTCTTACATCTTGCAGGAGCTTGTCTCCTGGTTTCCTGCTCTCCCCGTTCCTAGACAGACGCATTCGCTTCATTTGCTACGTTCCCAGCAGCAGGGGGGAAACCAAGAGTCAGCACAGCTGGAAACCTGTTAAGGGACCAGCAGGGTGCAGGGACAGAGCGAGGGTTGGGTGCTTGCTGCACGCTGCATATGTTGGCAATCGAGCGTTGATTCTGTTTGCGGTCTCTGCTCTTTCAAAGAGTGTGCCCCCATGATGTCCTTGCAACAACAACAAGAACAGCAAAAGCAGCAGCAGCAGGCTTTTGACATTGATTTTGTGCATTCTGCAGATGTGTCTGTGTGGGAGCTTCACTCTATGTGTGTGTGTGTGTGTGTGGCAATTGATGTACTGGGTGTGAAACTCCTATTCGGTTGCTGTCGGCCTTCCACAATTTCTTATGTCATGGAAATTTATCTTGATTTTGGCTCCGTTTTCATTGGCTTTTGTGTGCCACGTAAATCGATTGTAGAGACAACTTAATTGTTTATTTCGAGCCAATCAATACAAAAAATTCTGGGAAAATGGTGCAAAAGTAATATGAGATGATGTTCGCTTAACCTTGATTTCGAGCTGGATTTTTATTTGTTTGGATTGGAATTTGATCTTTGAAATAGATATGCACATATTTGTTGATTGAGTTGATTGATAAATACAAGCGGGAGGAAGTCAAAGAGTGGAAATAGGAGATGATAGAAGCAGATAAGTTTATTTTAATCTAATTTTTCCTCCGCAGTTCCTATTGTTTTCATAAATGTTATGCCAATATTTTGTATCTCTTTTTGAACATTTCTTGAGTGTATTTCTCTGTAATCTTTTACAGAATTCTCAGCAAAATAAGTGCAACAAACTCATGTGCATTCTTTACTTTAAGTTTTAATTTGAAAAGATTTGTGCCGCTCTTTGCAGCAAGTTCTGATTCCATGGCAACCCAAAGAAAATAATGTAGATATATTTTATTGCAAGTAAAAATAAAAACCAATTTCCTCGCATTTATTCGCCATCTCTTTATCCATCCACACACAAATCAATTCCTGAGAGTCTCCTCTGTAAATGCTTATCGAAATGCAGTGCATTTCGCTTTTCCCTCTTTGCAAATCATTCAAAATTGATGCGTAATAAATGCAAAAATATATACAAAAGAGTCAGCAGCAGCACAAAAAAATACAGAAAAGAAAAGAAAATGAATTGAGAATGGAATAAGAATAAGAATGAGCATGGAGAGGGTGGGCAAAAAGAAGAGGATGATGGGAGAAAAACTACAATTGAAACTTGAGCAAACAAAAGGCAACGTAAAATGTTTGCAAATTGAATTTCAAGTAAATATGAGCAATGCAATGTGAAAAAACGAAATATACAGATACAATTTCAAACAAGCAAAATATACATATTCTCGCAGTCACTTACGATGCACACACACACACACACACACACACACACACACTGATACGATACAAATACTGTTGCAAAATGGCTGGCAATGTCTGTATAAAGTTTCCAAAGCTGTACGAACATCTGTAGCTGCCTGTGTGTGTGTGTGTGTATCTTTGTATCTATCGAATGCAGTTTAACGCTTTAAAAGGAATTTTGTAGTTTATGCAGGCGATGCATCGTCTATATAAAGTTTGCCTCTGACGCCTGCACCCGCTCCGGCCACAGTCTTGCTGTACTCTTTTTCTTAGTCACTGTCACTCGCTCGCTCTCTCTTGCTCAGTCTATGACTGTACTATGTGGCAACTATGGCAACGACGTCATCGCCATTGCCATAATCAACCTCAACCTCAGCGTCGCATCGGAGGAGCTGGCCATATAGCCATGGCATGGCATCGCTCGTCTAGCAGCCTCCTGCTCTAAAGGAAGAAGCAACCCATGAACCAAGCAACACAAACACACACACACACAACCAACGAAAAAAAACATACAAAAAACTAGCCGCAACAACAATGCACTGCCAATGCCCCCACCCAGTCAGCCATCGAGCCCCAAAGCATGCCACTTGCTTCCATCTTCCAACAGAGTCAAGTCCATGTTCTTGGCTCTCGCTCTCTCCCGCTCTCTCTCTCTCTCTCTTTCTTTTGTGTATCTATAGATGCATCTTTCGGTTAGCTAGAGGAGAGCAGAGCACTATGATGATGGGGTCTCCGCTCTCGGATCTCTCTGCATGGATGGAGGAGCAGGCTGTTTGTGTGCCTAGTAAGCAGCTTAGTGCACAATTAAAGCCCTTTTTTGTAGCTGAGAATCCCTCTCGCTCCCTTACGCCATAAACCTTTCAAGTGTCTTCTTTGGCAAAGTATTTCAATTAGAGGGAAAAACATATTACGCATACGCCGCATTGGCTTCGCTCTGCGCTACTAAAGTGCTTCGACGGAGGGGGTCGAAATGCAGATTAAAATACTTAAAACATAGAAAATAATGTTGTTGGAGATTTTCCATTCAAGCAGAAAGTGTGGGCAATTATGGAAGGTAGAAATACCGCAGCTTAACTTAATGCAAGAATATTATTATGAGGAAAAGGCAAGAAGAGAAAGAAGTGAGATGAAATTGCAGCTGAAGAGGTAACTACTTACATTTCTTGGGAATCAATCAGCAATTGCATAGATCCAGAGGAAGTGCAGAGAGAAGACTATTGAATTCCAATGCAATTCTGCAGAAATTCTTTTAGAAATTCCGAGCAAACTCTTGAGAGATTCTGCTTAAGTGCATATGAATTCTTGGCCTTGATTAATAACCAACAAAGAGTTGCAGTTTGTTGGTAATAATGATTTAATGATGCCATGAGAAGTAGGTAATGAATGTGTGGATCGAAAGGAAGTGAAAAGACTGCAGAATTGTCTTTAATTAATTCCTGATCAATGCGAAATGAAGAGATGATGGGAAAAGAGAGATTCTTGGGACAGAAATTCTTAACAAATTATGATGCAAATCTTTGATGAATGGGAATTGAGTTTAGGTATGAGGAATTAATAAATTTGTGTAGAATAAGAAGAGTTTCTTGGAGATATATACAGATTGAGGGTCACTCAAAAGACGCTATCCAAATATAACGGGGAACAAACATGCTAAAATTATAAATAAATGCTTGATTCCATTTCTAAATTATGTTTTACATTCCTCAAAAACTCTTTGGCACTTTCCAAAGCAAGAGCAAACTTTATCTAGTTTACAAAGCAATGAATTCCTCATAATTTTTTTGAGGGATGCACATAAGGCTTTTCCAATTTTTGTCCTTCCTAAAACTCTCTTCAGGGATCGCCTCAAAATGCCAGCCGACAATTGTGTACACGCCATGAGGACTGACTGTCTGACTGTCTGACTGACACAGCATCAAATGGCAGGCAGCTGCACCTGCAACCATTTGCCTGCTTCCTGCTGGGCCATCAATAACTAACGAGCATAATCCTGGGCTACCACCTGCCACGACTAATGCCCCGCTTAGGCACACGAACCGGAGACGAATTCTCTTCCGGCAAAGTGAGAGGCAGAAGCAGTCGAAAGGACAGCAAAAACCAATGAACCCGCACACGGATTTGCCTGACTGACTTTCGTGAGTCAAGGTGAGTACGCATGTGCAACAAGCAACGAGGATCATGCCGCAAAAAGGGTTACAAAAATGCCACCATAACTGTACTCGAAAAAGGAAGCAGCAAAAGGGACGAATAAGGCAACAAAAAAGAGGTAGCAACGTATTCAGAGCATGACCAATGACAAAAAAAGAAAGGGGGGAATTCGCATAAAAAAATAAATGAAACGAAACGCCAAGACACATCATGAGAGTATTAAAAAGTGAGAGAAATAGATAGTGCGTATATCTCATGTGCATAAAAGGGAGACCTCTGTCTACAATTGTAATTTGCACAGTTTTCCCATATGTCTGACTTTCCTATTTTATTCGCTAGTTTTTTTTTTGTTGCTGTCGTTCAAATGCATCGTAATGAATGTCATCCGTTTCACTTTGAATTATGTCATCCACTGTTGTGACACACATTCCCAGAAAGACAGACAGACAGAGAGACACACACACACATTCGAATTTGCATGGAGAGAGAGAGAGAGAGAGTGCTGAAGCCTAACCAACTGTTTCTCATTAGAAATAGAAAATGACCTCCTCCCTCCGTGACAGACTGAAGGTCCCTGTTTTTCGCCATTCGCTTTGTGGTCTTCATGAAAGAGGCTTTATTTCCGTTTTGCCACTTTCTAAAAAAAATAATTATGCTTATTAAAGTTTCAAGTCATTTCGCGTAAGACATTTTGCTGGAAATATCTAGAAATTTGTGCTTCAAAATTTGCTGAAAATGTTTGTTGAACCTTTGGCTTTGGGTAAAGCATTGTCATGGCGTCATCGCAGTTTTTGTCTATAAGACTTTGTATTTAAAGGTTTTGTTTAAAATTCTGTAGTGCTCATGGATGGTATTTTATGATGAAATTTTCATTTGAATTTCTTAGAAATATTTTGAATGATGTCATACCAAATACAGAAATTCCTGGAATTTAAATCGCTCATGAAAAACATGAATACTCACACCAAAACCCATTTTAATATTAAGGAACGCCTTCCATTCGATGATATTCTTACATCAGGCAAATCAAATCATTCCGAGAGAATTTTCTGTATTTTTTTGTTTATTGGAAAAAATAGTATCACTGAGATCTCGTATTCATTTCTGATCTACGAAATTGTTAGCTATACCTTCTCCCATTCTCTTTCCACCGCTTTCCGCTTCATTCTATTACCCCTCCCTCATGCAAAATGGCCGCCCATAATCGTGTGACTTGACTTAACAACAAACCCACAAACAAT